CCTGCGGTGGCCGGGAGCAGCCACTGCACTCCAGTCTGGGCGACAGAGTGAGACTCCAACTCAAAAAAGAAAAATAAAGATCCTAAAATCTACATCAGAGTTATGTTTTTTTTTAACTGAGAAAGCAGCACTTATTTAAAACCCTAAAAATCTATGATAAGATAAACTGAATTCATGACAATTCAAATTCTGTTTCAGAATTTCTTATATAGAAAATTAGCCGGGCTCGATGGCTCAGCCTGTAATCCCGCGCCTTGGGAGGCTGAGGTGAGTGGACTGCCTGAGTCCGCGGGTTCGAGACCCGCCTGGGCAACTTGGCAAGACCTCATCTCTACAATAAATCAAAAAATTAGCCTGGCATGGTAGCGTGCGCCTGTAGTTCCAGCTACTTGGAAGGCTGAGGCAGAAGGATCGCAGGAGCCCAGCAGGTCGAGGCTGCGGTGGCCGGGAATGGCCATTGCACTTCAGTCTGGGCAACAGAGTGAGACTCCAACTCAAAAAAAAATTTTTTTAATTAAAAAAAAAGAAAATTAGAGGATACTGAAAGTGGATTTGCCATATATTAAATTCGTGCACTAAAATCTACAAGGATTCTCATAAATTTTGGTTTCAAAGTTACAATTTCTGACTGAACATTTAAACAAACTGGCTACCTCTAGTTTTCCACTGCACTCCAGTCTGGGCAACAGAGTGAGACTGACTCAAAAAAAAATAGAGGAAAATCCAATCGAATGTAGCTTGTTAGGCAATTCATAAATATCTAAATAATAAGCCCCTATATGCTGGGTAATTGATACATGGGAGTTCATTTTTTATTACCAAGTCTACTTTTATATATTTGAAAATTTCCACAATAAAAAGTCAATCACATACTCATAAAACAATATTATTCAAGAAACCCAATATAATTTGCATATAAATCAGAGAGTTAATACTAATGCCTTCTGTGATAGTTGTGAACTGGTTTCTATTCTATCTTAATTCCTCAGAAAAGAAATTTAATATTATCTTTCCAAGTTCAACTTCTCACAAACACCGTATAACTGGGAGCAGGGAAGAGCATGCCAAATGTTAAAAGTGACCTTATTTCATATGCTGCAGTCATGGCACAAAGGCTGGTGACTTCCTCAAGGAATTGTGCAAACTGGTCTGGGTTCTAGGTTGTACTTGGAAATTGGGGACTATGCTCTTCTCTTTCAGCTGAGTTTCTCTTACCTGCAACCTCTCTAAACTCAGAAAATGTCAGATGCCAAAGCCGTTCAATACTCCCTCCCAGGGTTTTTGAAGTTAACTATGTATGAAAGTAGCACACTCTATAAAGGGTTCATGCATTCACATTATCCGACAAAGCTCAGTACACCTCCGCCTTACCTGAGGGTGGCTGTGCAGTATGTTCACCATCCCCTGGGGAATTGCTCATTTTTGCAGCTTCGCTGGTATGCACTGGGGGCTCTTCTGTTTTAGCCTCTGATAACTTCAGGATTCCATGACACGTTTTAAAAAAACACACACACATAGTTTGGATTAATTTGACTAACTCACTAGCTAGGGGAGCCAAAGACTTTTTTTCTTTCATCTGGAGTCTCACTCTGTCACCCAGGCTGGAGGGCAGTGGCACGCTCCTGGCTACCACACCATCAATCTGCTGGGCTCAGGTGATCCCTCCACTTCGGCCTTCCAGGTAGCTGGCACTACAGGCATATGCCACCATGCCCAGCTAATTTTTCTTGATTTATTGTAGAGATGAGGTCTCACCAAGTTGCCCAGGCTGGTCTCGAACCCATGTGCTTAGGCAATCCTGTCACCTCGGCCTCCCAAAGTGCTGGGACTATAGGCATGAGCCACCACGCCTGGCTGACATTATTTTTTTAATTACTGTCTGCTGACTAGATAATGAAGAGATTCTATTTTTCCAGAGTTTTTAAGATATTGCTATGCTAGCATTTTATATCTCCTACTTTTTGAGGAAGGCAAACATTTCATTTTAAATCATGCAATGTTAAGGGTAACTAGCATGATTGGACTTTGGACTTAGCAAGAACTGAGTTCAAACCCAGGCTCCACCCTTACTATTCATGTGACCTTGAACAAAACAACAAGAAATATTCTAAGAAAAATAAAACCACTGAATTATACAGTGTTTTTTCACTTACTACAGTATATACCACCAACAAATGTATAAAGTAGTCACAAATAGCTTTATTTTCATTTCTAAAATGGAAAAGTTCATTTAAAACAAGTAATTTAAATCTTGGAAAGAAGTATACTAATATTAATTCATTTTTCATTAAAAAAAAAAAAGAGGAAAATTCAGGCTGGGCACAGTGGCTCAAGCCTGTACTCCCAGCACGTTGGGAGCCCAAGGTGAAGGGATTGCCTGAGCCCACAGGTTTGAGAACAGCCTGGGCAACTTGGCGAGACCTCATCTCTACAATTAAAAATAAAATAAAATAAAATAATCTGGGTGTGGTAGCGTGCATCTGTAGTTCCGGCTACTTGGAAGGCTAAGGCAGAAAGATCACCTGAGCCCAGCAGGTCGACACTGGGGTGGCCGTGAGCATGCCACTGCACTCCAGCCTAGGCGAGAGTGAGACTGACTCAAAAAAAAAAAAAAAAAAATAGAGGAAAATCCCATTGAATGTAGCTTGTTAGGCAATTCATAAATATCTAAATAAGTCCTTAAATGCTGGGCAATTGATACATGAGGGTTCATTTTTTATTACCAACTCTACTTTTATATATTTGAAAATTTCCACAATAAAAAGTTAATCACATACTCATAAAACACAATATTATTCAAGAAACCCAATATAATTTGCATATAAATCAGAGAGTTAATACTAACGCCTTCTGTGATAGTTGTACACTGATTTCTGTTCTATCGTTCTATCTATCTATCTATCTATCTAATCTACCTATCTATCTAGAGTTGGGGTCTAGCTCTGTCACCCAGAGCGAGTATAGTGGCATAATCATGGCTAATTGCAGCCTCGACCTTCTGGGCTCAGTTGATCCTTCTGCCTCAGCTTCCCCCATAGCTGGGACTCCAGGTGCAAGCCACCATGCCCAGCTAACTTTTTATTTTTATTTTTTAGAGATGAAGTCTTGCTATGTTGCCCAGGCTGGTTTCCAACTCCTAGGCTCAAGCAATCCTCCCACCTTGGCCTCCCAAATTGCTAAGATTACAGGCATGAGCCACCACACCTAGCCTATGCCTTTATATTTAAAAATTCTTAAGAATAGCCAAGAACCTCACATCCACTGAGTTAAAAAAAAAAAAAAAGTTTACTCAAAGATACTAAATCACCTCTTAATCCTAAAACATCTCTCCTTCTTCTGCTCTTCATTGGGTATCTTGAAGTAAAATAGGTTTTTCAAAGACAGTGAAATGATATAAGCATGTATCTCAGTGATTCAGAGGGAAAAATGGGGAAAAACTTTCAAGTGATTGAGACAACATTTATATCAAATTTAAAGATTTCTCCTTCCCTTCAGGGAAATCAGTAAAAGGTGGAAAGGCAGCTAGATGAAGGGAGAGGAAAGAATAACTATTAGTACCTCTCAACTTAGCCAGATACATACTTAATTTATCCCTAGGAAATATTAGGCAGTTCATGGAAATTGTTCTTAATGAAAGAACAGGATGCCAGGAAATGACAATGAACCACTCTAACTCAAGTTAATAATATTAAAGTTGGCAGAGCACCTTTGGTAGTAGCTGTAGTTGCTATTTCAACATGGCTGCTATTTCAATACAATCAAGGAGAATAGGAAAGTAAATGTTTTTCTTAATCTTCTTGTATTCATAAAATTAAGAGGAATTTTTATAAGAAAACACCCAAAATAAGAAGGGTATTACAATTTTGGGAGTTATTAATCTTGGCTTTTATCATGGAATTTAAAAGGTAGGTTGCTAGATAATTACAAAGTCAATAAAGTTATAAAGAAGCAATTATTTCCTTAAAAGAAAGAATAAAGGATACACTCTTTAAGGAAGTGTATACTGTCTATCTTAGAAAGTATAAAAAGCTAAATATAACTGCTTAGACTTGCCAAAAAATATGGATATTCTGAGGAATTATGTAGTTCCACATAAGCTTAAACCTTATAGCAAAAACTAGGTGTAAACTGAGATAACAACAATGAAATACTTCTGTTATATGTTCTGCAGGCACCTGGTTTTTTTTCTTCTTTTCTTCTTCCTGGTCATATTCCTCTTTTGATTTTCTGAAATATAAAAAATAAGGTAGAAAAGTAAATTTTATTTTTTGGTCAAACAACAAATATTCAACCAAGCAACATGTTAACCTAAGCTTACAATACAAGCAAGACATTTTGGACATAAAAAATAGAGGATAATCAGGCCTCGCTCTAGGGTGGTTACAATCAACTGGGAAAGACATGCATAGGTTTACACAGCATAATATAGTTAGGTCTACCCATTTCTACTAGAAATCTGAATGAACCCTAGCTGAACGAAGACCAACAGATTTGAAATCCTAAACCCAAATTTGAATGGCAAATTTCATGAATAAAGACTTCATTCTTCCTCTTGAGAGAGATGACCCCTTCTGATAAGAACCCTTTCCCCCCTCACTCTAGTTGTTCCAGTGGCATCTGAGCCATCATAAAACACTCCCCATGCCATTGTACCAATGCCTACCAACTTTTGCTCATTTAGACAGTCTGATTTAGGAAAATAGCCAAGGTCAACTGTTATACATGTTCATAACTAAGTTCTAATACTTATACACTAGTATACCCCTCTCAAAAGCTCTAGAAAATAAAATCTGAAAGTATACTGCTGACCAGTTTTCAACCAATGCAACCAGTCCAAGTCAAAACCTTACCTATCCTCTGAACCAAATACTCTCACCCCTTCAAACCTGTAATCTCAAAGCAATCTGTGTTGTCTCAGGCTCCCATTTGCCCCTGTCATCCAAAGAAAGATCTGCCAACCTCTCCATAATCACTCAAACCTCCAGAAATTAAGTCCTGGAGCTCCTGTGATAGTTTCCCACCAGGCCCAAAGAGAGCTTCTGCCTTGGAGCTGGGATGAGGTAGACAGATGGGGGGACTATAGGATACTAGAAGATGGTCATGTGTGGTACAGCTGGAGAAGAAGCAACCCCCAAAGGCCAAGGCCCTATTCTGCAGGTGACATGACGACTGCAGGTATCCTTTTGCCTTAAACCTAGTACATTCTCACAGGAGATTTAAAAACTAGGAGCTGCAATTGCCCCTTCCTTCCAAAATTTCCATACAGGTCAGGTCACAGGAGACCCAAAGAAAAAAGAAGGGCCTACTAACCTTTCCTAGTTTTATGTGGGCTCCCTTAGTGTTCTGCACACTTCATGCCAAGTACTTGGCTGAGAAGCAAATTAACTGGGAGAGGAAGAAAACAGTAAGATACTCATCTGAGATAGATGCCTCTCACTGTTCTCCCTCCCTTGTAGGTTACTGTTACCAAATCAACTATCCCATCTGTAGAGTCTGGATGTCCAACCTCCCACTATGTGATATCTAGAATGTGCCACCTCAATACTGAGATCCAGAAGCCATGAAGTACCCTGCTTAGCTCAAGTCACTACAGCCCTCTCTAGGGATCATGCTGGGACTACTACAGCTTTTTCCCATTGGTGGCTACCTTCCCATTCCTATAATGGAGGTGGGAAAAGACCCTTTCATGTGGGCTGATCTGGTATAAGTCATATGAAAATGATTTTTTTCTCTCATTAAGAAATATAATATATACAGTTATAAAATGATAAATTACTTTGATGGTCTTCAGTAGAAAACTTAGCTATTTTATTAGTCCATAATATTTTCTGGGTAGAAAGCATATGTACATATCACATTATAATATTACTAATATTACTAATGATTCATTTAAAAAAATAATTGAAGAAGGATACCTAAGAACTTCCCTCAGGATTTTCATCTCTTCCTGCTCAAGGTCACTGACCATATCAGAACCATCTGTTAAGCAGTCAGGTAATACACCTGTTCAAAACCAAAGACCACATGAAAAAATGTCAACTCAACCAGTAACATTTATTTCTCACTGTTCTAGTTCATTAAGTACAAATTAACTTACAATCTATCACTTAAAAAAAAAATTCCAGGCCGGGTTCAGTGGCTCAGCCTGTAATCCCAGCACTTTGGGAGGCCGAGGCGAGTGGATTGCCTGAGCCCACCGGTTCTAGACCAGACCGGGCAACTTGGCGAGATCTCGTCTCTACAATAAATCAAAAAACTAGCCAGGTAGGGTAGCGCGCGCCTGTAGTTCCGGCTACTTGGAAGGCTGAAGTGGAAGGATTGCCGGAGCCCAGCAGGTCGACACTGGGGTGGTTGTTAGCCTGCCACTGCACTGCAGCGTAGGCGACAGAGTGAGACTCTGACTCAAAAAAAAAAAAAAAAAAAAAAAAAAAAAAAAATCCAAGCTATTATCTTTTAAACTATCATCTTTTAAATCTTTTCTCACTTTATAGAACAAACCACACCAAACAATCCACACTTTTACTTAGAAAATATCTCTTAGTAATTATTTGTATTGACCAATAAAAATAACAATGGTATATGGCAAAAAAATTAATTAACATAAGTTAATTAACATAACTGTCTTCCATAATTATATGATATCTGAGGATATACCACAGAAAAACACCGAGCCAGGGTTAATAATGAAACTATGCTCTCAAAGATGCTCCTTAAATGGCGAGAGTTTGCAAAACAAAATGTAATTCTGTTAGATGAAACTGTTATGAAACAGCACTTAATTCTCTTCATTCACACAACAAATATTATTGGAAAAGGTCCTACTTATTTATTACTATGTGAATAAAAGCATTATATGTACAATAAAAGCATTTTGAGGAGATATAAAGATAGATAAAACAATCTCTTCCATCAAACCTTCTGTTTAGATGTTGGTCTAATAACTATAAACCAGGGCAGTACCAACTTCAGCCCAAGAAAATAAAAAACAATTTAAAATGCCAGTTTAATTTACTTTACTACTTATATCTTCCTTTTTTTTTTTTTTTTTTTGAGTTGGAGTCTCACT